TTACTATTATGCCCAGATTCAGGTATTGATTACAATATTTTCATGTTAATAAACATATCTGTATAAAAAAAAACAAAATTAATGGTAAATCCATACAAGGATTTAGATTCACTTACATACGTTTGGAGGCTCCTTCAAAAGTCTCTGATTTGATTTCGCTTCCGATTCAATGTAGAACCACATGAACATTGATCCACACGAAGACAATCCGGAGAACCAAAAAGGGATTTGCTAGATGCACTTGATGGCTTCAAGAATCAAAAGGAAATTTTCTTCTCCACTCAATGAAGAAGAACATGAGAGAGAGTGAGGGTGGCTAGGGTTTTTGTTTTATTCAATGAGTGAATAATTCTATTGATTTATTTTAATTAAGTTTCACTTCTATAGTGTCAGTTAATTAAAACCCGAATCCCATTGAGAATAGCCATGGATTCTCAAGTTAATCCATCCTTGCAACCAAACACCCGTTTTTAGTATTTTAATTTTATATAATTATTATTATAATTAAAATCAATTAATATATATTAAAATACATATATTAACATTTAATTAATAATAATTCATTTAAATATATGTGAACACACATTTAAATATAATCTCACTAATTTTGATTTTAATATTAAAATTAAATACATGCGACAACCTCAGCAAAATTAATTGCACTGTGAGATTACGAAATACCCTTTCGTCCTAAAAGACGAAAATACCCATTTCACAAACTAATTCTTAAATTATTTTCTAAGTGTGTGACCCGTAGGCTCTTTATCATATCGATAGTGAGTAGTATCGTGACTAACACCAATTAATCGTCTCACTACACACAGACCAAGATTAGCCCCTAGCAAGACATCATGACCACCCAATAGATTCAAATTCAGTGAAATAGTTACCTATCAATGATATGGTTACCGTGCAATCAAATCCTTTCATCATACATTATCTCATCAAGGCTGGGGTACAGAGATAGTGTCAACCTCATATATCCTTAATATCTTTGTATTTAGTTACTGGACCAATGACTGTGATAATAAATTGGATTGAGCAACAACTCAATCCCACAATGGTCGCAGATTTTTTGTCATTGTCATTTACTAAATTACGCAGTGAGATAACTTCTCCCATACCCGGGAGTGATGAATCCTTTGTCGATCCACCATAGTCTTGATACACTCCTCGATGCAGCCAATCACTATCATATTGATAGCTTTGAATAGAACTACATTGAGCTAGTATGAAACTATACCAATCAATGCACAAGGCACTCCTGTGATCTCAAGTCTAAGGATCACATGCACCACAATTTGTTAGAGGATTTATTCCATAGACATTAGGTTTACCATCCATATATGAAATCCTCTAATGGGTTGATAAGTACTTGAAAATACACTTATATTTAGTGGTTTATAGGTATCATTTATGGGAAATTAGGATTGATTCGCATGAATTAACTTAATTGTTTCATAAATGCACTTTTTGGGATCACGGGTATTTTTGTTGTGCTTTCAGGGAATAAATCTTAAAAATAATATTCAGATGGGAGATGATGTTGACGAGAGAATTTTTGACGATTGGAAACAAATGGATTGAGAATCGAAGTTGAATTGAAGAAGTTATGGAGCTTTGAAGTAAAGAGGAAAATCTAGATTACGCTCCAGTTTGAGCATGTCTTAGTGTTTCGATAAATACTTCAGCTATAGTTATTGTATCAAAATGATTCTTAAACTGTTGGAAAGCTAATTAAAAGGGCTAAATTTCATATGTTTACCACATCGCCAGATTCTATCGTTATTATGCTCAAAAATCACTATCTCTGGAGTGATAAAGAAATAAAAGAATGATGCAAGGTTAGAAGAGGAATTGGACCATGCCGCAGCATTGTGCTGTAGTACAACAAGACCAGAACCAACCGCGCCGCAACACACTTAGTCCAGAATCAACCATGCCGCAGCACAGTGCTGGGGTACAGTCACGACAGCTAGAAATTTTTCTTCCGTTTTTTACTGGGAAAATAGGGTTTAAGAGTCCTAAACTAACTAGAATTAAGGAAAACAAAACCCTAACCCTTGTGGGATATAAATAGAAGTCTTTTAGCATTATTTGGGGGAATTTTCTTTTAGGGATCTTTGTAGAGAACAAAAATACACAATAATGGAGAGATTGAAAGAGGCTTGGACTGAAGAATTGGGGTAGATAATCATCAACTCCATTGTTCTACCCAAGATTTCCTAAGTTTTTCTTATCTCTTGTTATTATTTTGTTATTCATTAATATGATTATGTTTTTCTTCTTCTCCATGAGTAACTAATTCTTTTGTGATTGAGGATGATTTCAAAGCCCTAGACATGTCTTGTGATTAATAAAATTTGCATCTATTTATCTTTTGATCCCTCTTGGTTATGTGATTATTTCTCTATGAATAGGGTTTAGATAGATTGTCTTAATTGTTTAAATGCACAATTAAATAGTTAGGATTAATTTATTAATGCCAATTTAGGTTGTTTAGTACGGAATCACTTTATTAACCTAAATAACTAGTGGTAAAGTGTATGCCTACATGCATACATGGGGGGTAATCACTCAAGATAACTAAACCGACCATATGAGTTTAGCCTTGATTCAGTAGGTCTCTCACAACTTAATACTTTTATTACTTTGAATCTAGAGATCGTATCCTATGTTATTTAATAAATAGGGAATTAGGTTATGACCGTGTCTAAGCCAACGACTCAGTAAGGAGAGATGGGACTTATCAACGTTTGGTATTTTCTGAGTTGATGTGATCAAGAGGGTAGGAAGTTAAAGAGTGCTTTTATTATATGTAATTCATGTCTAGTGGTGGCGAATAAACCTTCAATCTAGTTTCTCTTATTTATCTCTTTTGTGATTGTTTCCTTGTTTTACTTTGTTTAATTTTAGCTTGATAGTTTTTGTTGAGTTTTTATAATTCGTGACAAACCCCGTTTGAAGTAGATAATTAATTGAGTTCACAAATCCCCTACGGGAAATACCCTTACTTGCTTTTAGCTACTACATGACTTTACATTAGAATTTAGTGAGGTAAAATTAGGTGTTGCATTTGCACACATCATTGGTCTGTCCAGTGAACTTGCCTGCAGCAAGCATGTTACACCAGGTTGTCGGCAAACAACCTTGACAAGTGAGATCAGTCACTGTCTTTCGACAGGGTCATTCAACACTATAATAGCGTTACCGTATTATCTGTGTCCTTGGTCATAATAATATTGGGGCTATGGACATTTCTAGAATGACCACCATATGTGATCATAGGGTTCTCACTATCAATATTTGAAACAGTTGATACCCTCATCACGATTCTACCATCCTAAGGAAATATATCATTACATACAACTCTGATTTACACGATATAGAAGAATATGCCTCTTATTGATAAATAAACATTATTACAAATAGTCAATTTTATAATAATTGATTGGCTCTAGGGCATCTACTCTAACATTTACTTTTTATAGATTTATTCAAGTAGGAAAGTATTGTGTTATTGCATTCTTTCTTTTCAGGTTCTTGATATTGTATTATTTCATTTGCCTAAGGTTTGGTGATTTTTTTTTTAATTTTCACTAGTTGTTTGGCAAACAGTGGCGGAGTCATGGAGGCCTCCCATTGGCAAAAATCCTGGGTCTGCCACTATCTCGATGTAAATTCTATAAATACATTGTATTATAATACAACATATGCAATCTTCAACTAATTTAAGTACCATGGTATATATTTTTTGCAATATAAAAATAATTATTACTATGTGGTGACAAGTTCCTTAAGATAGGACTTAAAAAAATTATAATGTGGAGTTTATTCTTACTTATAACTGGTCCAAGTTGGGACTATAACTTTTTATGACTGCATGAAGATTATTACTATATAAAGTATCACTATAAAAATATTCTACTGTAATTTGAAATATTATATATCTTATATAAAAGAAATATTTATTATCGTTTAAAGAATATTATCTTCATAAAATATATAATTTTACAACATTTTAATTTAATTATTAGTATATCAAATTTCTTAATTTAGGGATAGTATCAAATGTAGGACCTGCTCTCTTAGTTTGAAATAATGGAACAAATCCTTATCTAGGATAGTACTTTGCTTAAGGTGTATCAGGTAGATAAGGAATTAACTTCTAATTACCAACCTGACCTGTAATAAGATTATTTTAATGCATTATACTTTCAATTTCAAATAACTTGCATTAGCTAAGAAGCCAGTGGCTACGGCCTATGTTATAACAAATAATTAAATCCAGCTGTCCGGCAGTTGAGCTGCATAGCCAACTATGTACATATATATATGTGCGGCGCGTTAAAATGAGAAAATTTCTAAAGCCCTTGAGGTAATACCTTAATTTGTAGACCCCCTATAGTTTTGGATAGCTCACAACCCCCTACTATTAGGCACAGTCATGTGCAATCTGTCTTTTGACTTCCTATCCAACATAAATACCATATTTATCCCTCATTTGAGGTAAAATAAAAAGAACTAGCAAATTAATAAACACAAATGTTTTAAAGTTATAAATAATCAAATAAAATTTTTTCTTATGAAATTAAAAAAAAAAAATTCCAATAGAATAGAACCAATAAATGTGTTATCTCAAAATAAAATTGAGCTCTCATATTGAAAAAAAAAATCAACAAAATCTTATAATTTAAAAAAAAAAGTTTTTTTCATTTTTCTCTTTATGAAATCGTTTAGGATCAAACGCAATCACTTCATTTAGAATTATTAAAAATTTGTATCAGATATTTTTTATAAATTTATAAAAAGGTTATTAGATAATTTTGAAAGGATTTTTTATGTTATTATAGAGTATTTAATAAATAATTATATCTTTAATTTAATGGGAGCGTGGTGTAGACGCACATGGGAACGCGTCTTTTATTCAAAAGCAGGTTTCTTGTAAATGAAACCGAGTTGAGAGTCCTGACCGCCAAAGTTGGGTATTAAAAGCTAGTGGTCTACGAAACTACACAACCACCTCCACCTTATGATTTCCCCTCCCAGTAAAGAGACAAAAAACCAGAGAGAGAAATTATTGCTATGGCTGTTCTCAGCAGGTCCATCTTCATCACCATAGCGGTTCTTGCTGTTGTTCTAATTGGCTCAGCAGAGGCACAAGATCAATCATGTGCATCAAAGCTGGTAGCCTGCTACAAATTTATCAACACCACCACCAAACCAGACAACGATTGCTGTAGCAACATAAGAAATGCAGTACAAAATGAGCTTAAATGCCTCTGCACTCTCTACACCACCCCTGGCTTGTTGCAGACTTTCAACGTCACCTTTGATCAAGCTCTCAAGCTCACTAACGAATGCAACGTCCCCACTGATATCAACGCCTGCAAAAGTATGTAACCATTACCTTATCTCAATCTTTCATCTTTTACAAATTTCTTCAATTTCATGATTTATGCTCAATTTAATGCTTTTCTCACTATTTTAGTCAATTTTATTGACTATTTCTTTTTTCTTTGTGTTTTTGCCTTCGACACAGGCTCAGCTGCCTCACCCACATCGGGGCCAGGTTTTAATTCCATTTTAATTACACAATTTCCGTTTTAATTCCATTAAATGGTGTTATTTTTCACTTTCTTTTTGGTTCGGTAAAGCGAAAATCATGATCACAGTCATCAGGTTTAGATCTGCTACAAATTTGTTGTTATGTCTGACCACGTGATAACTAAAAGTTAAAGTCAAGGTCAAGTCGGCCGGCAAATGTAGACCAGTAATGGTCTAGCTAGCCCAATATAATAAGAGTAATAACAGCGTTACAAGGAGGTATAAAAAGAGTCGTATAAAGATTTAATTCCACCTCTTGAAAGAAGGGAAAAAAGAGAAGTATTACTCATAATAACAAATCAAAGAATAAAATATTTTTTATATCAGCGGTTGAAAAATCACAATGAAAATGGAGACCGATTCAACTACTATTTATCTAATTGTCTTTTATGTGGAAGTGGAGTAGGTGATGAATATGGTTAGGCCCATTGCCAGCTTATGGATGCTTTCGGTGCCTCCAAATTTGACCTAGTATAATACTAGTTTACAGTTCTGCATTTGTCATCAATTCTTGGTGAAGAAACAAAGTAAAAAAGAAAAGAAATCATGTCACAACTCACAACAATGTGAAATCATAGAAAACGGAGAAGGAAAAGGAGAAGCATTCACATCGTTTTTAAAATTAATTTCTATTGTCAGACAGTCAAACATATTATAACTGATAGATGCTTTTATTACTCATGTAATTCAAAGTTTCCTTCAGTCCGTTTGTTTTACACTGATATATCATACATAATATTGATTAGATGCCTCTGTGTATTTACATATGTTTGCCCTTAATTGAAAATTGATGGCAATAACAATATAAATGTTACAGGTACGGTACCCGGAGGTGACAGCGGTGGTGGAGGGAGGGTGGCATGGACTGGAGTTACCAGCTTACTCTTATTCTGTGCTTCCATGTGGCTTTATTAGTACCACCAATTACTTATATTTGGTAGTGGAGTAAATAATAAAGTTGAGATGATTGATTAGTAGAGAGTTCATTGTCATTTGCTGCTTCATATTTTATAGATTTGGACAGTGTTGTTATCCCCTATATGCTATATCACATTGATCTTAATATCTTCATGTATCTGACCATTTATCACAGAAATGATTTGATGTTCTTATTGGAAATAAATGAAGTGTTCTTTGATGTGTCTTTTATCCTTCTCTTTGAAATTAATAACAAGTTTAATCACACTTCTATAAGGGCTATTGATAATTGCCATTTGCCAGTGAAAAGAGACTAACTTACATTTAACATGTGAAGCTCTCAACGATTGACAATAATATCAATTTCAAATCAAATGAACTATTTGATAATTGGCTTAACGGAGTGGAGAGAGTGGTTCTTGTTGGTGGTCTGGATTTAAAATTTGCATGGTTGTAGTGTCGTGTTATCAAGTTAAAAGAAGTTCCACTTTTTAAAATCTTTTATTATTATTAATTTATTTCTAAATAAAATTATTGGACTTACCTTTTATTTCTTTTCTCTCTGGACAATTTTGATACTCTACTTTACATAAAGACTAATTCACCGTGATCTTATTTAAACTTTTTTAGAAAATTTTCTTAAAATATGAATAAGAATTACAAAAAATTTCATCTATTTCTATGAAGGAAATTAATTTATGTCCTGAATGGATAAAAACCGATTATGAAAGCTTCATATGAGTATCCATTCGCACTGCATCTGATTTTTATCCAGCTATTCTATAATTTGCTTGAAAATCTAAGTATATCTTCAACAGTTCCTAATTTGATTGTGATTTGTGTGGTGTTTGGTTGTTTGATTAAACAAGCCTAATTAACTCCTAATACAAAGTCCAAAGCTTAATACGAGGTAAATGGATCAAATTTTGTGCTTTCATTATTTTTGCAATTGTAATTTCATTTTGCTATAATTTCCTAATAATACTAAATCCTAAAATATTATCAACACCAAGATTATTATCCAAGTCCTTGAAAAATCCTCAAGGTGATATTTTTATTTCACTTAGGAGTTATGAATTCATTTCTATAGATTTATAAGTATTTTTGTCCACTTATGAATTTGTGCGAGCACATTTAGTTCTGATGTCTGCACATCATTTTGTTTAAGCACAATCGTTTTTGTAGCTTTCAGTTGTCATGACTCTCTATGTTGATGGACGCACACTTAGTCTGTTTTTGTTGTAAAACATGTGGGCACATCAGAGTCTAGTGTGCAAACAATCATCCAATCAGACTTTAATACAAATGTTGTGTTGCCATTTGTTGTTAGGATATTTTTCCAGGTTTGAGATATGTGTAACAATGTAAGTGCTCCATATACATAATATCTTAGATATTTTGAGCAAGTTTTCTTTATATTCTTCATCAACCTTGCATTTACGTTTGAGCCTGAATATTTCTTACATTGTTCTCTGAAAATCCTTTGAGATTTATTTCATATTTAATCAGGTTCCATATGCTTTGGTAAGCTTAAAATACCTTGTTAACCATTTGTTGTTTGAGTGTTGTTGGAACGTGGTTCCATTGATGAAAAGCTTGATGTGATTTCAAGCTATGAAGCTGAAGTGCATCTTCGGTGTTGAAGCTTGAGTGGAGCTCGAGATATCCAAAGGGTGTCTTGGATTCAAGCAAGCTGTGGCAAGATGGTGGATCATCCAAAGTGTGGAGTTAGAACTTTGTGAAAACAAGGAGTGTTTTACATTTGTTTGCTTAACTATAACTTTGTATTGAACCTTGAATGTTTGCTATAAAGGATTTGCTTCTTCTAGACGTGGTCTCATGGATGTAGGCAGTTCGCTGAACCATGTAAAAACCATTTGTGTGCTTTACTTTATGTCATGGATGTTTAACAAATGTGTTGATGATGAATGGACAAACCTACATGCATAAATGAACAAGACTAATATATTCCACATAAGTTCAATGAACTTGGTTAAGTCATAAAAAATTCATTTGGTATCAGAGCGTACTCTGAAGAGTCATTTCAGTAGATCCTTGCTTGTTGTTTGTGCTTGAGTCTTGATTTTAGGTATGTTACTTTTTGTGTATTTTTGTGCGATTTTGATCAGTTTGTCTCGCTACAGCGTTTGTGACCACATTTGTGTTGTGTGTCTTCACATCTGATTTGTGTGCTTGTATCTCGTTACAACATTTGTGACCACATTTGTGTTGTGTGTTTCCACATCTGCCTTGCGTGGTTGTGTGTCATTACATTTGTTTTAGTTGTGTCAACATCTGTTGTGTGTTTATCATGAACTTCTTTAGTGAAGAAGGGTTTACAAATAGACCACCCATGTTAGAGAGACCAAACCACGCTTTTTTGAAACCTAGGATGTGTGCCTTCTTAAAGTCTATAGATGAAAAGGTGAGGATGTGATGTGTGGTTGGTTGGAAAGCACCCGAAGTTGTTGAAGAATAGGTGACCAAACCAAAACATAAAGAAGGGTTGAACAAGACTGAGTTGGATCTTGCTAACTTTAATTCAAAAGTCATTCATGCCATTTTTAATGCTGTTAGTATAAATCAAAGGAAAATGATTGCTAACTATGAAATTGCAAAAGATGTTTGGGATAAACTCCAAGTAAAAAAAATGAAGGAACAGACACTGTTAAAAAGACTAGGCTTAGGAGATTGGTTACTCACTATGAAAATCTGACTATGCATAAAGATGAAACAATCACTAGTTTTCATGGTAGGATATGTGATGTGTCTTAGAGCTGGGCATTTGGGACCGGGCCCAAAAGCCTAGCTCCAAAACCCGGTCCTAGGAGGCCTAGTCCCAAAACAGGACCAGGCCTAAGGAGGAGGGCTCGGGCCCTCCATTGGGCCCTCCTCCAAGGCCCGGGCCTGGGACCAAATTTTTTTGTATTTTTTCAATATAATCCCCTGCCAAATTACATAAAACCCCCTATTAATTTTAAAATAAATATAAATTACGAGGGTTAAAATAAAATTTTACAAAATTTAGAAAAAAAATCTTCAAGGTCCAAAAAATTTATAAATTTTACCCCTAAAAAATACTAAAAACCCCCTATAAAATTTTGTTTTGCCCCCAAAATATAAAAAAAATTGAGGGGGGAAAATAAAATTATCCAAGCCCATGGGACCGGTCCTCATGAGTGACTGGTCCCATTTGGGACCAGTCCCAAGGGACCAGGCCTGGGCCCGCAAGGGACTAGTCCCTTGCCCACCTCTAATTTGTCTAATGAGTGTTATGTTTTGGGTAAAGTCTATACTAATGTTGAGCTTGTCAAGAAAATCTTATGCTTACCACCCAAGAGATTTATGTCAAAGGTGGCCTCAATCGAAGAATGTCGGGACTTGGATGTCACGTAATTGGATGAATTGATTAGATCATTGCAAACTTTCAAACTCAATATGAAAAGACGGGACAAGAAGTCTGGTAAAGATCTTGCTTTGAAGCATGAGGTAAATTCTAATCCCCTTGAAAATGTTGATGAAAGTGATGTGGATGATGATAATTGTGCCTTACTCACAAAAAACTTTGCCAAATTTTGGAAAAGAATATGAGAAAACCAAATGTGACTAGAAAAGGCTAACAACCCTATGTCAAAAACTTTTCTGACCAGTCTAATCTTGGTGCTTTTTCGAAAAAGTTTTCAAAAGAACATGAAAAGAAAAACAAAGGCATTAAGTGTTTTGAGTGTGAGAGTCATGGCCACATCCAATCTGAATACTATGCCACCACTTTGAAGAAAAAGGGTAAAGCAATGGATGCTACCCTAAGTGAGAGTAAGTGATGAGGAAGAAAATGAAAGTGAGGAAGATGAACCTAATGTGAGTGAGAATTTCCTAGTTTTACGGTTAATCAAGAGGATAGTGAGAGTGCAACCTTTGATGATTATAGTGGTGTCTATAAAGAGCAACAGAAAGCCTATGATAAAATCTCGTCATTCCCTATTGAGGCAAAAATGCAATAGCCTTGACTAAATAAAGTGTCCAACTCTATTTAAGGTTGTGAACATTATTTTGAACTCATAATTAAAAACCGTGTCTCCCATAATATGACTAACACATTTAAATAGTTCTTAATATATATTTATAATATGACTAACACATTTAAATAGTTCTTAATATATATTTATAATAAGTTCTAGATCATTTGCCATTGACTTAAAACAACAAATATGAAAGGTAAATCAAATAAATTATATTAATAATAAAAATATTTACTGGTATAGGTTTTGTCAAAGAAGAAATCGCCTGGAAGCGCGCCACGGCGAAAGTCGCCCAGAATGCAAAATAGTTCCTTTCCAGCCCTAATTTAAGTTACCAGTATTTACTAAACTGCCACTCATTGTAAAAACTATATAAAGGGCAGTATATTTCATTTTTTTATAGATATGAACATTTTGGAAAGATTAAACATTTGGGGATTGAACTACTCTTGGGGCTTTTGGAAAGGAGGAGCTTGGAGAGGAAAGGAGGTTCTCTTCCTCTCCTTCTCCTTTGTTATTCAGATTATGGTTCTAGGTGTATTCGTTTCTTTTCCTTTATGTTATAGTTTGTTTTCTAGGGATTTGATATAATCTAATTGAAGGCTTGTGTTTTATTGTTATTATCTAAATATATGATCCATTCTATTATGATCTAGATTCATTTATTGCATTTAATTCAATCTTTAGTTGATATTAGGCTTGATCAATCTTGATGTTAGTTAATTGATTGTATGAGACAAGATTGTGTATGGAATGACTGATTTGTAGCCTTGCCCAGGTATAGTTTGGTTACTGTCTTTAAGATTGTCTTATGCTTAATGGGTTTTCATAGTTGGACTAGACTATACGCCACTAGCTAGTTTGATTAATAAAAATACTAGGTTAAGTTCGAACGCCTACGGTAATACCTTGCCACCTTAGAACGAGCGAAGCTTCATTTAATGCACTGCAGAACACAATGGAATGGTCGTTCCACCATCGCGCACGGTCGTTCCTAACACCAACGGTCATAAAATTTGAAATATGGAGTCCATAATGGTCATTCCACCATCGTGCACGATCGTTCCACCATTGCGCACGGTCGTTCCACCATATGGAACGGTCATACCATTTAGTTCTTCACAATCCATAAAATTCCAAAAGCATGAATGATGTCATTCCGTTTGGAACATGCTTTCCATCATGA